TTCCCCGACGCCCCCCGTGAGGCGCGGGGCGCCGCGGTGCCCGCAGAGCCGCCTGCTGGGGCAGCAGGGGAGGACGCGGGGAAGAGCCGGCGGCCATGGGGGCAGGGGTCCCCTGGCCACTTAGGTTTGGGACGCAGGGAAGGGACCCAGCGCGGCCACCATCCAACTTGGGAGACAAGGCGCCGCCCTGAGGAGGGACATTCGCGCCCCCGCCCAGCAGGAGCGGGGGAGACAAGCTGCGGACCTGCTATGGGCTGCGTTGTGTCCCCAAAGGGAGACTAGTCCCGCCACACAACAGACCGCGACCTTTGGAGACAGGGTCTTGGCAGAGGTCATCCAGGTAAAATGAGGTCTTGGGGTGGGCCCGTGACTGCTGTCCTCATGAGTGGGATTTGGACTGTCGGGGACACTGACCCACAGAGGGAGGACAATGTGAAGACGGCCGGTAGGATTCAGCTACTGAGGAGAGAAGCCCGAGGCTGCCGGAGGCTGGAGGCCTGGGACACACCTTCCCGTAGGCCCCAGGGAGCTTGGCTGCCCAACACCTGCACTCGAGCCTTCCGGCCTCCAGAGCCGAGACCACCACTGTTGTTTTGAGCCACCCAGTTGAGAATACTTGTTCCAGCAGCTCCAGGAACCCGGGTGTGTGGAGACTGAAGCCCATGTGGATACCTGGGTATCCAGCCTGCAGTTCCAAAGCTGGGATATCGCTATGAATACAGACGTGAGCAGGCAGCTCAGATAGACAAGCAGAAAGGGCTGGTCATTCTGAAACGGCCGAACCACTCAGTCTGTACCTGGTACAGAGGAGGGTCAGGTCAGTAGCCTACACACCACGCTCCCAAATGGTTAGAAGCAAGCCCCATAGAACCTTCTGAATGTTGAACCTCATAGACGCTCTCAGATGTATGGCTACAGAGATCAAGTGGTACCAGGGAGAGGACCAGGGACACAAGCGGATAGAAAGCCTATGGACCCAGCAGCAGCTTCACAACAGCGTCCGCTCCAGGGGTCGTGGCGGTAACGTGAGCAAAGGGGTCAACTCAAGACCCAAGGCCACATTCCCAGCTCCAGCCCAGACTGGACATGTGGGCATAGCTCAATGAGATATGAGATGGCCACCTACTGTGGCTCCAGCTCCCGTCAGCCACAGTAGGCAGCGATCCCCAGGTCAAGGCTATCCCTGAAGAGCCACGGGACACCGCAGAAAGCAACCAAATGTCAGGACCCAGCATGGCACGGAGGTCAGCTGAGACCCTGGACGTTTCCCTTCCAATGTAATTTTCTGATGAATGGCCAACTGCAGAACGACGTGTGCTGGTCAGGGGACATAGGCTGGAGCGCCAACGTGGGCACTCCCCAAAGGACAGAACCCACAGCCTGCAGCCTGGTGCCTCCTTGTCACAGGCGCCTGTTTGAAAGCAGATTGCCAAGCACTCGGGGCCCATGCCTGGAAGACCACCTGTAATAAGCTCCTGCCTCAACTGTCCCAGCCAGAGCTGGCCTCTGGAAGCAGGAGTTACCCCAGCCCTGGGCATGTCCTGAGAGTTCAAGCCAGATGTCTATAGGGACAACTGTCTCTCAGGATCACACATATCTCCTTCCCTAATAGCTCTGAGCTTGTTACCACTTAGCCCAGGGTCTGGAGGGACCTGGAGACCTCCTGTACGCAGCAAAACTGTCTCTGACCTAGAAAATATGCCACGCCCAACCTGCAGCGGCAAAGGGGAGCTTCTCGGCAAAAACAAGTGTGGGGGGGCATATGGACTCCTCTCCCCCTCAGAAAACCCCTCCTTCGGGGTCAAGACTGAGCCATCCTATTCCCTATGCCGTCACCTGTTTCCAAGTTGTTCTCCAGGACACTAAGCAGGCAAAAGATGCTACTGGAAACTGGGCTCACTGACTAAAAGCCACCAGGGGGCTGTCTCGGTCAGGGAGAGCAGTGAGCATGCACAGCCATCCTGGAAGATGGCAGAAGAGCTGCAAGAAGGCAAGTGTAGCAGGACCCACACTTGCTAGTGTAGCTGGGGCCAGCCTGACAGCCAGGGTGGCTGTGCAGTGCACTGCCGGATGCACGGAGGCTACCCAGCGCCCAGACACCCGTGGCTCCAGGGAGGGAGGAGGCCCAGTCAGTGGTGGAGAGCAGAGCTCAGGAATCCTGGCTGCAATCCATGGGCAAGGCCTCGGCAGACCTGCGGGGCAGAGGCCCCATGGAGCTCCCAGCCCTCAGCAGTGTCCAGTGAGAACATCCCAGAGCTGGGCTGAGGTCAGTGGCCAGCCGACTCGGCCACAGGACAGGAACGGTCTGGGCTTCACTCATGCCGTTAGCCACACTCTGGAGCAGCCCAGGACTGAGGCAGCAACCCCACAGCCCAGGAGCCCGGTGGACTCGGAAACACACTCAGCAGTGAGAGAGGGGCACAGAGCGGCGGATGCGGGGTGACGCCCTTTACTTTCCCTGTAGATGCCACGCCCAGCGGCCACGCTCCCAGGCAGCGGCTCCTGCTCCATGACAGTCTGAGACATGTGGCCTGACCATCTGCTGTCTGAGGATTACAGCAAATGACTCTATTTGTGATTTCTAACCCTCCCACTGCCTCCCCCCAAAAAAACTGTACATGAGTTTACAAACATATTAACATATAAATAACGAGAAGCATCCTGGCGGAGCCTCCCCAGCTGTCTCTACGTGAGGGAGCACATCCAGGGCAGCGCTGTGCCACAGTACAAAGCGCCTGTGAGAGGGGCCTCCGCCGCCCGCTCGGCGCTGGCTTCTGCACCGCCAGGCTCAACCGCCAGCGAGTCCGCGGTGTCCAAGGAAGGCCTGGAGCTGCGCCCGGTCATCGCTCCGGCTCGAGCTCGTGCTGGAAGGGGCGCCGCTTCTCCCGACAGTGCTTCTTGTGGGCGGGCCAGTCCTTCTGCTGGCACTGGGAGCCGCAGTACCGGGCCACCTGGCAGCGCCCACAGATGTTGAACTCCCGGAGCTGAAAGGACAGAGGATGGGAGGTTTCTCGGTCACTCAGAGACACTGCATGTCCAGACCAGGAAGGACCCATGACCCCAGCCCCGTGGCCAGATAGGCGCCAAGGGGTGCGCAGGGATGCGGGGAGTGGAGCGGGTGGTGCCTGCCGCAGCCGTACCTGCTTCTCGATCATGGTGCAGGGGGGGTAGTGGCACTCGTAGTAGGTGCAGGAGTTCTCCTCCTCCTCCACCACGTCCCCGTTGGCATTGTAGTACCGCGTCACATTCAGCACGGGGAACTGCTCCTCGATGGGGTCCGTGGGGAGCTGCTGGATCGCCAGCCAGTATAAGCTTTGCTCCCTGGAGGAGAGGAGGGACCAGCTCAGGGCACAGCTGACAATGGTCAGACTCCAGGATGGACAAGCTGTTTCCTCTTGCTCAGGAGGCCCCCACCCCCATTTGTTATGGCAGCTGGACTTTTCTTTGCCCCACGTGCACTGTGTGGCTTATCTCTATGGGACATCAGGGATTTAGCACACCCTGTCTTCCCACTGAAAGGTGCAGAGCAGGGCTGTCTCTCCCACACCTGGGACCGACTGCAGGCACAGGGACCATGCAGTCTCAGTCTGAGTCCCAGCACCCAGCCAAGCCCAGGCCACCTGAGCAAGACCAGGCAGCCCCTCATCCCTGCTTATGGCCTCAGCAGCGCCTGCTTCTGCCGCTGGTTGGTCCTCCCGCCTTCGATGCTGTGAGCTGCTCCACATCTTTCTAAAATACCTGTCTGTGTGAGTACACAGTGGGGCCGAATTAAAGAATTCCACCTGACACTAGAGCTGAGCCAGGTACGCTACCAGGTGTCACCGTGAGCTCAGGTGGGTGGGGCGTAGGTGGGGCAGCCAGCAGCCCACCCTGGAGCTAAGAGCAGGTTAACCATGCCCTCAACCTGCCCACCCTCCAGGGGCCAGGCCCGCAGGGACTTGGGTAAAAGAGGGAAGGGTCACCCTCACCTAACACCATATACAAAATTTACCTCAAAATGAACCAAGGACCCAAACTTAAGACCTTAAACAAAAGGTCTCTCAGAAGAACCAAAGCTGCACTACCCTGGACTTGGCAATGAATTCTTGGAAATGACACCAAAGGCACAGGTGACAGACGAACAAACAGACATGCTGGACTTTACAAAACAAAAAATTTTGTGCATCAAACGACACTATCTAGAGTAAAAAGGCAACAACACTCGAACCAACCCAGCTACCCGGCCAGGGCTTTGTCGCTTTCAACCAAAGATCTAGGAGGGTAACCATCATAAAAGGGTCAGTTTCTCTCAAGAACAGCAAATTTTAGGGCCATAGTCTAACATTATGGAGAACCCAGAGGCTTGGCCCCCAGCGCTGTCCCTCTCATCCTGAAAAGCCTGGTGGGAAGTCACAGTGTGCAGGACCTCTAAAGAGCCACAGCGTCAGCTGAGTGTAGCCTCCTGAGAGCCTGGGGCCCACCCCCTCCCCACCAACCAGGCTTGGCCTCTGAATCCTGCCGTCCACCTCCGCTGCTCAGGGCTCTGACAAGTCCCTGAGGATGACAACGCAATAGTCCACCCAGTGTGCACCCAAGATCCCGGGAAACACTGACCAACCTCACTGACATCTGCCTGCTGGGAGTCACCACCAAGAACATTAGGATAGGCGGCCCAGAGGCCTCATGACACGCACAGTACCCCAGGAAGCCCCTCTGAGCCCATAATGCACGTGCGGCCAGGTGTCCAGCCCAGACAACCCTTTTCCCAACAGAGCCACTCAGCAGAAAACCCACCTGATCAAAAGATAATCATCAGGATCTTAACCCGCCTCCAGGAAAAAGAGGACCCCACACTTCAGGGGAAAGTAACCAAGGTCCCCAAACCACAAAAGCATCAGGGCAGAGCAGAGGTGTGGGCCCTTCCTGGTAAGGAGAGCCCAGAGGAGGCCATGACCAGGCTCAAGAAGACCCACCTTTGTTTGCTGGAGGTCTCCTCAGCTTTGGGCCGCCAGCCCCAGGGCACCAGCTGCAGGTTGTCTAGGCGATTGTCCACAGTCACAGCATTGAGATGCACTACCTGAAACCCGGGGGCGATGCCTCCCCTATGCCGCTCCCTAGGAAACAGACAACTCTCTCGACCCACCTCCCAGACCATCCCAACATTTCAGCTACATGATCTGAACTGGCCCCTCGTCACAATGAAGGGGACCCACCAGGAGCAAAGATGCCCAGAGGATCCAAGGGTGTCCATCCACAGCCCAAACAGGACCAACCACACTGATGGTTCAGCCCAGGGACTGAAGAGCTAGGCTGCAGGGAGCCAAACCCTGCAACACAACCTAGAAAATGCTCTATCTGAGAGGTCCCACTGTGCACCCCAAGGACAGCAGTCCCTTCCCCACATCCCACTTACAGGCTCAGCAAGAGCCTGGCTGGGACCAGACCCCACTCTCCCCAGGGAGGCTGTGTCCCCCTCAGTGAGCAGCAGAACAGAAAGAGCACTTGGCCTGGAGACCTAGGCTGCCCTGCTGGTGCCACAACCCACAGCCACCACTCTTAGTGGCAATGGCACAAAAGTACGAGGATGGGAGGCTGCCCTGGCTCCAGGTATCCCATGTATACCAGGCTCAGGCAGGGCCCAGTGGGAGAGCAAGCAGCACATAAATACCCACCAGAGCAGCTCGTGAAGAAGCCTTCCGGAGCCCCTTCCTCGATTTTTGTCGAAAGCATATGCAAATATCTTAGCACCATTTCCATCTGCGTCTACTTCCATCCGGGCCTGAGAAGGAACGACATACAGGTCTATTAAAAAGCCTCCAATTCTCAGCAACAGTTCAAATACCTCTTAGGAAAATCGAGTGAAATGAATGAGCTAGAGGGACAGAGACAGGGCCAGGCCTGTTCCTGGGACCCTGGGGGTCTGTAAAGGCTCCCGGACACATGGCACGAGAAGCCAGTCATGTCCCAAGGTTCTGCATTTGAGCAAGAGACACTCACGAGCCACTCTGCACAGTACTGTGGGCATAGAGAAATAAACTTCCCTCCCCTTAAAGAAGCCCACAATCCAGTGAGAAAGAGAAACCCTGTACAAGAAACCACTGTAGGAACGTGAAGGGCTGAGATGAGTGTGCTGGGCCTTCTCCTGGAGGGTTTTCAAAAGGGAGGAGCGGTGGTGAGGCCTGGGGCATGAACAGAAAGCTGGCCAAGTAGAGGCAGTGGAAGGCAGGGGCGCTCAGGAAGATGGGAGGAGAGAGAGCACTGGGCACCAGGAGGGACAGGGCCCAGGCCAGCAAAAAGGTGGGGTGGACAGTCTCCTAAGGAACCAGGGCTTGTCCAGTTGAATTCAGTCACAAACATGACATGACTGGCCTCTTTTCCAGGATCGCAGCAACCAGGGCGGCCATCGGGAAGGACCAGCGTCACAGAGGCAGCACTGGGACCTGAGTTCTGAATGGAGCTGCACAGGCCCTCACATCCCGGGGAAGGAAACCACCCCTCACGACCCTCCCCAGCACTGGACCTGAAAAGCAGGTGAGCAAAGGGAGGCCACCCTTACCTCGAAGGAGTATCCCTCCACCAGCGGGATGTCCTGCTCGTCTATCAGGGTGTACTTGGTCTACAAATCAACCACATTCCAAAAGTTACATTTGGGATCTGGTACGGTACTGGGAATGGGCAGGAACGGCCCCTTCCGAGTAAGAGATCAGCAGGCGAGGGGCCCGGGCAGTCTACCACAAAGACGCAGGTAGCTAGCCGTGCCAAAGCTGGCCACTGCCCACCCCAGACGGTACCAGAGGAGCAGGTATGCGGCTGCACTTCCCATCCGCAGGCGGCTAAGCGCAAGAGCTGCCACCAGCTGCCCGGCCTCTGCTCCCTGCGTTTCAACTCCAGTAAACCTCCTCCAACTGGTGGTTCACTGGAGCAGAGGGAGGGGCGGGACTGAGGCAGGATGTCCAGAAGGTTTCAATTAGTGTCTATTTCTTAAGCAGGGTAGTCGGTACCCAGCTGCCCCACTGAATTGTCCTTTTCAGCTTTTTGTTCCAAGTGAGATGTTTGAAGGATGGCACTACAGCAACCAGTCACTAAGTTAGAGGGGGGTCTCGGAGCTGACGGGAGCCCACCCTTCCCTAGTCCGCTAGTTAGGAAGCCGCATCGCGTCGCTCTTGCAGGATGGGCAGGAAACGGCCCCCAAGGGGCCGGTCTCACTCTCGCCTGGAAAGCTGTTTTCTAGGATCTGAATCCGCTTTACCTTCATCTGACTGCCTCTGCTCCTCTCTCCCACCCGAAGCTTCCGCCGCTGGCGATGGGAACAGGGTTCCCATCCCGGGTAAGGTCTGTGGCTGGTGCCGCTGCGCGCCGGCCGGCTCCTGGAAACAGCCAAGCCTCAATGCCCACAGGTGCTGGGCGCCCCAGCCTCGAACACGCGGAGGGCGGGGCGGGTCAGGGAGAGAAGCAGAGGGAGGCCGGCTCGGGCGAGGCCGCCGCTGGCAGCGTGAAACCTGGCGAAGCTCCCCCAGGGCCCGCGGGCGCGGGGCGGCG